CGTCGTTGCGACCTGGGCCCCCAGGCGGAGGAGGTGTTCCTCGTCCAGGGTCAACGCCAGGCCCCTGGCGAGTTTGTCTTCTATCCGCCCCCGGAGCTCCGGCGCTAGTGGCTCCGGCTGTATCAGCCACTTTGCCACTAGGGAAACCAAAAGGGCCGAGATCACAAAAACCCCGAGCAAGTGACTGTAGTGGTATTCTCTTCGCAGCACTACGTATTTGGTAACGGGTGGCTGGGGATGGGGTGGGGGCCAGCTGCTGCTTCCCCCCGTCGCTGGGAGGCGCCCGTCTTGCCGGAGCGGCACCCTCGTTACCGGCGGTTTCCCGATGTCCTTCGGACCGCTCGCCGGCTGTTGCTCGGGAGGCTGCTCCTCTTCATCGCTGCTACCGTCTGCTTCCGTCTTGTTCCCCTTGCCCGCGGACAGCTGCGGCACCATGGCGCTACGTAGCTGCCCTGGGTAGACAAAAGTTTGCGGGGATACGACCAGCGGCAGCTGCGCGTAGTGCTGCTGGTTGATCCAGGGGTCTGGTGGGATGTCTGGTGGGGGGAGCCCGGGCGGAGCTTGGTGTGGAGGCATCGCGAAAGCGGGATATTGCTGCTGGCCGCCCAAGTAGGCACCGCTCTGGCCTGCCGGGTGTCCCTGATACAGCGCAGTGTCCCCGCGGTGAAAATGCTGCGGCTGGCCGCCCCCGCGGTAGAAGTGCTGCTGTTGACCAACGCCATAAAACTGCTGGTCGTATCCCTGCGTCCCGCCTCCGGGGTGCCAGTAGCCGCTCCAGGCGGTGTTGCTTTGGGCGCCATGGCCGTGATACTGGGGTGCCCTGCCCGCGCTGGGGTTGCTGGAGCTGCTGCTGGCGCCGCCTCCCCTCGCGATCATCGGGTTACCCGCCCCGCTCATGTCCCACCCTGGGGGGCACTTCGCCACGGGCAGTTAAACCATGGAGCCCAACCGGGGCGGAGGTCGTGGTTATGATTTTCTGTTGCTGCGCGCGAAGACGTCGGTCCTGTCGCCTGGAGGTCAGTCTGCTCGTGCGACGAAGCCTACACGCGTGTAGATCGGCCTCGGCGCGGAGTGAAGAGGAAGATCGGCGGGAAGAATCACTGCTACTGCGGAGCGCCGTGCGGTTCTGCTGTGTCGGCTCGCGCTCGGAGGAGGATGGACGGGACTGGCGCGCGCGGAAGAAGAGGCCCTGCCGAAAGAAGGACGTGTCCCAGCCGACAAACGGCTTGCCTTGTTCCCCTCTAAAACTGGAGCACTGCGGTAAAACTGGGGCCCCGGGGAGACCTTCGCTGTTCCGCCTCTGTGTTCGCCCCGCCTTGTCCCTCTCTAAAACCTCTCCTTTGGTGACGAGTAGCGCGCGCGGAAGAAGAGGCCCGGCAGACGGACAGCAGACCGACGTGTTCCAACCGCAGACGATGCCGCTCTTCGTCCCGCCGGGTGGCGCAAAACGGCTCGCCTTGTTCCACTCTAAAACCGGAACCCGGGAGAGACTTCTCTCTTTCTCCTCTTTGTTCGCCTCGCCTTGTCCCACTCTGAAACCTCTCCGTTGGACACGAGAGGAGCACGCGTGGAAGAAGAGGCCCGGCAGACAGAAAGAAGACGCGTTCCAGCCGCAAAAGACACTACTCTTCGCCCCGTCGTGTGGCGCGACGCGTCTCGCCTTGTCCCACTCTAAAACCGGAACGCTATTTGTAAACTCGACGGCGTGATTGGGTCGCGGGAAAATCTTCACCGTCTCGCCTCTACGTACGTCTCGCCTTGCCCCACTCTAAAACTGGCGGCTGAATGTCGTAACAGCAGGTCGGGCAGCAGCAGGAAGATGGGTGTTGCTGAAAGAATGCGCTGCGCACAAGAACTGCGTCGCCGGGTCCTCCGAAAGAGGACGAGGACCACGGTTGTGGCGAGGCTGCCGACCTCGGGGGCTGGCTGGCTGATTGTGGTGGTGGTGGTTTGGCGGAATTCCGGTCCCGGGAAGTTCTCGTTTGTCTTCAGACGCGACGGCACAGTCGAACTTCCCCCACGAAAGCGCTGCCGAATCCGCAAAAACTACAGCGTTAGGGCGTGTCTGAAGGAAAACAGACACCCTTTCATACCAATCGGCGGTCACTGCCTGGCGCTGAGGGGCCGGCTGGTGCTGTGGAGCTGTGGACGGAAGTCTTCTCGTGCGGTTTCCCCTCGTTCCGGAATCGAAGCCGGCGGCCGTTTACGCCTATAAATTGCCGATTTGGTTGCGGACTGGTACTGCTTTTCCTGTGTTTTTTCGGCTCCTCCTTGGTAATCGAAGCCGGCGGCCGTTTACGCCTACAAATTGCCGATTTGGTTGCGGACTGGTGCTGCTTTTCCTGTGTTTTTTCGGCTTCTCCTTGGTAATCGAAGCCGGCGGCCGTTTACGCCTATAAGTTGCCGATTTGGTTGCGGACTGGCGCTGCTTTTCCTGTGTTTTTTCGGCACCTCCTTGGTTTTTTCCACTTTTGTTGACGTCAAATCGGTGCACTCGGGTCGTCAGAAGGCGTGCTGGTCTGCTGCTGCTGCTGACAATCAGCTGATGCTGGCGATCTGCGTGGAGATCAGCGCGGAGAAGCACTACTTCCCGGTCTCTGCGTCCGACGCCCCCGACCGCCCCTCGCCGTGTTTCGTTTCTGTTTCAGGCGCCCCCGACTGCCCCCAGAAGTACTGCCACTGAGGAGCCGGCGCGATGCTCACTGCTACGAGAATATTGGCGTCGAGATCTGCAACCTCGTCTCCCGAAGATGCCCGCGAGAGGGCGTTTGTCTTCAGACACGACGGAGCAGTGGTTTTTTTCCGAGATAAGCGCCTTCTGGTTCGCCCGAAAGTCGCTCTTGGGTCGTGTCTGAAGGAAAACCTACGCCCTTGCTCCCTGCCGGTGTTGTGTGGCCTCGGATAAAGACGCTTTACGGATGGAGGAGCGGCTGCTGCTGGTGGACTGCGCGCTGCGCGGGGGTGGGAGCGCTGCTGGGCGCGAGCCTGGATGCGTCCAGTCGGTGCCGCCGTGCCGTCGCGACGGTGCTGCAGGATCTGGGGGGTAAAGATGTAAGTCGGCACAGCCAATAGCCCGTCCCTACGGGGCGCGTCGCAGGGTGAGAGATGCGCGGGAGACCATTTTTTGCTATGAAGTTCTTTACTTTTTTTGAGCGCAAAGCCGCTAGAGTAAACATACAACCTGCTTCGTGGACTTGGATTGCGTTGTGCCGTCCAGCTGTCCGAGATCTTGACTGGCGCCGCGCAGAACAACGCTGCCTCGTGAATGTCGGCTATCGCTGCAAGGTGAGGCGCTGGTGGTGGGGTCGTGGGCAGGTCGGGGTCGTTTCACTACCACCAACACGGCCGTGCTGCGCCGCTCACTACTCTACGACCTGTGCCCCTTCGTCGACCGTGCCACCCGTTTCTCCTACTCGCCTGCTCTGCCTCAGCGCCCGCACCTCACGCCGCAGCTCCTCGTTGTTCTCCCGTAGTTGATCAAGTCTGTCGGCCACCTCCTTTGTAATCTTCTCCTCCAACCGGACCAGGAGCAGCGGGAGCGTCGAGCTGCCTGAGAATGGACTGTAGATTATGCTCACGACAAACGCCTTTGCTTCCTCCGAATTGCTAGCGATCCACTGGATGCGGATATAGGCTGCGGGCTCCGTCTCGTGGTCGTGCAGAAGGTCCTCCAGTGCGTTCGGCAGCGTTTTACTTGTAAGGAGACCCCACGGCGTTGATCCGTCAACGCTCAGAGCGACGAGCGGGTGCTGGGTGTTGAATCCATAGAGGAAATTTGCGTAGTCTCCGCGCTGCTTGGGTTGCCCCCTCAGCTCCCAACAAATGTCGGCCGTCGCGCGTCCCTCGTAGTCTTTCTCCTTCCGGACCAGAATTACGGGGTTCTGGGGGGTTAGCAAAAGCGGCACATGTGCAACGTCGGGAAGGTGTTGCCTCGTCTCCACTGTGCTGTTTTGAAACTCCTCCAGCTCGTCCTCACTGATGATGCCCCGCCTCACCAATTCTTCAAGCTCCGTGAGATCTCGACTCCTGGACAAGCGGGGCATGCGGATTGCGTGTTGCGCGACGGCTCGCTTGCTGTGTTGTGTGATGTGTGGATGGCGGCTCGAGTAGTTGGCACGTGAAGCAGCCTGCTGTCATAAAATCACCAACGACGGGCCCCGGGTATTCCTCGTGACAGGACGCCCGGACTATGTCGGACCGCCTTGGATCACTGAAAATTGTGCTGCTCTATGATATCCACCACCAGCTGGCCACACCACACAATTATGCTGCTGTAGCTTGTTGCTGACCTGCACTTTTCCCCCTAGGTACTCGCGAAATCACCACGAACAAACCCCGGACGCCTTCCGCTGACGTGGGCGCCCGGACTATGACGGTTCGATGTGGTTCACTAAACTTGTTTGGGGAGCTGGGCCGAGGCGTTGTTGTTGCTTCTTACTTTGTTTTGGTGTAATAGGAAGAGGGGTGGCGTCATCTGCCGGCGTCTTGTTACTGTCGCTGCGCGTTGCCTCCACCCACCGATGAGTATGCGCGAAGGCACTATCAGGCCTTCCACTGCTCGTCTGTCGTTGGCGGCAACTCGGAAAGGGAAAAGAAAATAGCAGGACAATGCCACTGGGTGGTGGAGTGATGGTCTGGGTCAGTGGCCGGGGGTAGGCATGTTCTTTCGGTTTACAACAACTTACAACAACTTACTTTCGCCAAGCCCATTATAGCGGTATATGCAACCTACTTACTGCTACATGAAAAATCACTAGTGCATTAGATCACTCTTTCACACAAGCTCGACATGGATCTAAGTATTTTTTTTTTAGACAAGAACAAGGTCAAGGATTCACAACTTTTTTTGAACACGAACTATAAAATATTAATTTGTGCATAGCAGCCTCTGCCTCATCAATCAGGATCTTCCACTGTCTGATGGTTCACATTCACGTCGCTTATTTCTTCCCTCTTGCATAAGCCTCAAATTTCTGCAGAGCTGTTCAGGACTCGAGGTTGCAGGATTTAGATTTAGGGTCAAACAAAGGGTTTAGCTTCAGGACTCCGATTTCGCTTTCGACGATTGAAAGGCATAGCGCGAAGAAGTAGCAGCGCGGCACTCTTTGTGTTGTAAAGCCTGACACGACTACGCAGCTGTTGCACAACTTGGCGCCCCATCTAAAGAAAAAGAAGAAGAACATACAATGACCGGCTCAAATACTAGCATTGTCCCATCGCGTGTGTCGGGCCCGGGCGAGGACCACTGGCTGTGGCTGCATCAGTGTGATGGATTGCGCGCGCAGTTGCGAGAGGCGAAGTGGGAGACGACATCAGAAGAATCGCATTACGTTGATTCCAAGACTGGGTCGACGTACGAGGGAGATTTCGACCGGGTAAGAGGCGGTCCTCACGGGTCGGGGCGGCTTGTATGTAGGAACACGTCTCCTCATTTTGAGTTCGAAGGTAAATTTTGCGAGGGGGAAGTTGCGGCTGCGGGCGAGTGTTGCACAATCAAGTGGCAATGGCATCGGCAACGCTATTCACGACAGGAAACACAAACTACATTCTCGGCGAAGCAGACTCCAGTTGCAAGAACAGAAACTTACGAAGGAGCGCACCGCGGTGGTCTCCGTCATGGGCATGGCGTGAATACAATCAAGAAACACGGGACAGCGGACATCATCTATCATTATCAAGGTGAGTTTTGTGATGGAATGCGGCACGGCCGCGGAAAGGAGAAGATACACAACGCGTCGACGGAGACGGTGCCAGTCCCAGTGTCAGATTTGCTCGAAAACACGACTAAAAAAGTCACGGAAGTATCTGTTCCTGCTCGATGGAGTAGCGTATACGAAGGAGAGTGGAAAAATAGCGCAAAGTGCGGCTTCGGGAAGTACCAATGCAAAAGTCCCTTTCGAGATATCAAAGGACAAGACTGCCTCTCGCAAGAGACATATCAAGGCCAATGGGAAGCCGACTTGTGGCACGGGCACGGCGAATGCCAAAAGATAGAGACACACAAGAACTCAGCGGGGGCTGACATTTTGGTCATGGTCCGAGAGTATTGCGGCATGTACGAGCGAAACAAGGCATGTGGTGCAGGTGTTCGAAGAGTCAAAAAGCCTGACCACTCTTCAGGCAACCTTCGAATTGTTTTGGAGTACGACGGCGAGTTCAAGAACGGTGAGCCTCATGGCCATGGCAAAAAGAAAGAGTTGCTTTGTGAGCAAACTGCACTCACTGACTATAAGGCTACTACTTTTTATTCCTATTTCACCGGCGAATTTCGGGACGGTAAACAGCACGCGGGCCTAGAAACTTGGACAACGAACCTCGGCGTTGAGTGTTCCGTTCGTTGGGGGAACGGCGTTCGTCATGTTGAATCGAAGACACACGTAGCCCAATCTTATTACATACCAGCCACTCGTGCTCGTCCCTCTCCCTGCCCGGAAGGAACAGAGGCTGCCCATGTAGGCGCGAGGGAAGCAGCCCACGCTATCGCCATTCCGTCAGGACGAGCTCCTCATCAAATTGTTGGCGAAAGTGGTGCGGTTGCGGTATCCAAAATAAAGGCAATCTCGTCGGGACAAGCACGCGACGGCTTAGATCAAGAGACGAAGCTGAGCCAACATCCTCACGATTCGAGATCATTGGACGGCTCCGTTTGTGTCTCGGAAGGAAGCACAGAGGGGTGCAAAACTCCAGAGAAAACGTACACCATGCATTTGCAAACCATCAATCCTGCAGGTTGGAGAAACGACGCATCGCGAGGAGAAAACTTTTACGTCAGGGTGAACCCAGATAACGGAGAAGAGCTTAATTACGAAGGCGGTTGGGATTGGCACGAAGGCGGCATGCACGGCCAAGGAAAATTAAGTCGATTTCCTGATCACCGCAATAATAATAAAAGTGATGAATCGGCGCAAATAATTATTGAAGGTCAATTTTGGCACGGAGATTGTCCGAACGAGTTTTGTCGTATCACGAAACCTAAACTGCCGAACGGAGAGCCCGGGTTCGTGCTCGAAGGTCCCCTCGTCAACGGCAAAATTCAGGGGCGTGGCGTTCACTTTTCGAAAAGTTTGTCCGGACTCCCACGATACGAAGGCGAGTTCCTAGCAGGACTGTATCATGGAGAGGGAGTTCTCACTGACTTTTTGCCGGATAGAAGAACTGACTGCGTAGATCAGTACAAAGGCAGGTTCCGTAGCGGCTACAAGGACGGCTACGGTGAGTCAACGATGATATCGATAATAGAAGGCCGACCTCAGTCAGCCATTGAGTGCCTTGGAGGCTATTTCGACTACTTCAAAGACGATAGGCGAGAAGGCTCCAGTCATCTTCATGCGACTTATCTGCCGCAGTTCTCCGAGCAGTCCATTGGCGAGTGGAAGAATAACAAGATACAAGATGGACGCGGGTTTTACAAGCTAAAAGAGCGCAGCACTTCCGCGGAGAGGAGATTGATTCGTGAGCACGAGTATAGCGGTGATTACCTGAACGGCAAGCGTCACGGCCGCGGACGCCAAGAGGAGACGGTGCACGTTGAGGCAGCACCTGGAGGTGCAGCTCATACCCCTTTCACAACCGTCTACGATGGAGAATGGCGTGATGGCAAGAGGTACGGCCGGGGCACCGCAACAACAGTAGACGGCGACGTTTTCACCTGTCTCTGGGAGGATGACAAACCTGCGCCACGTGTCGCCTTTCATCAGTGCCGCCTTTGCGATGCAAAACTTCCGAAGCTAGCAAGCGATGAAAAAGCACAAGGAGCATCATTGCAAGGAACGTCTGATCCGCTGCAAGCTTTGCAAATCACAGGTGAAGGCCGGGGAAATGGAATATCACATCCAGAACAAATGCGCGAAGCGGCAGGTGGAGTGCGAGCTGGGCTGCGGAGCTGTGTTCGCAAAAGAAAAGCAAAAGCACCACCAAGCTCACCAGTGCCCCAACCGCGAGATCTTTTGCGAAAACGTCTGGAAAGACGTCCGCTGCGACTGGGCCGGCCTTTTCGTCGATTTCGAAGCACACAAAGATCACGCCGCCTGCTGTCCTTTTGCCATGCAGAGCTGCGAGTGGTGTCTGGAAGTTCTGCCCCAGTTCCAGCTAGCCAGCCATACCTGCACGCCCGTATTTGAAGCCGACACTTGCGCTTGCTGTTTTCGTTCGTTCGCGGAGCTGCGCGAAGTCGAGAAGTCCCCGCCGGCGATTTTACTGGACGCGGACGGTAAACGGACATGCAAACACGAAAAGGAGCACTTCTGCATGCAGTGTGCAGAGAAGCAGCAAGCGCTGCGTGCCGAATGCATGATCTGTCGGGCCGAGTTTGCAAGCATCACAGCACTGAGTGAGCATTTGTTGCTCGCGTCGGCGGAGACACAGGTGAGGAAGCCGCCTCTGATTTTTGGCGTGAACTCCTTTTTGGACAGTGTTCATTGGATCTCCCCGCTCGAAATTCGCTTTACCCACGACAGCGTCCGAGCTGTCTTTCGCCCATTCGAAGCAAAGATCCGGGAGCCGGGCACAGTAGGCGCGTGCACGAACGCAGTGGCAGGACGAGATGAAGAGATCACTAGCGCGAAAGCGACGCGGGCACCGTCTCTAACAATGGGCGAGAGCGCGGGTGTCCTTGCAGCGAACAACAAGCATCAGCCCAAGAGAAAAACCATTTTCCGCGAGCACTGGTCGATTCTCGACTCGGCCACCGAGCTGATCCAGCGAAAAACCGCCTCAACTTCCCAAGTGCCGCCCGAACTAGAACTGCTCGAAGTTTGTTGGCACGAAGACCAGCTTTACTTGGCCGGCACGGGGAACAGGCGCCTCACCATGTGGCGCATGCTGGTGGTGTTGAGGCCGGGGGAGTGGCAGAAGATCAAGGTGAAGGTCGTCGACAAAGCTGACCCGGCCGTGAAATTTGAGCAGAAACTCACGACCAAGTGTGCCGGCCTGTGGATTGACGTGCGCGGTTGTGGCGTTGTGGGGCGGCGGTTGGAAGAGGGGGCGGCGGAGGAGCCCAATGCGGTGGGCACTCGATCGCTACCCGGAGAGGCCGCTGTGATGTACACCGATCCCGGCATCCAGTGGCAGCAGGCGATTGATGTAATTCTACAACGAGGAGGCAGTGCTGTAGAAGTGGCAGCAATCGCAGCGCACGCAGATGGTCGCGACGAGCAGGAGCAGCACGTGGAGGAGAACAAGAGCGCGAGTCCGTCGCGTCTACTAGGGAGAAGTGCTACATCCCCTGCTTCTACATCTCCTGATGATCATGTGGTGGTTGACGCATCTTCGGATGACGCATCAACTGGCAAATTCGACGACGTGGCGTCTGAATAACGAGTCGTGCTGATGAATTGTTGCAAGTTCTTACTGCTGTAATTATTTTTAGCATGGAAAGAAGAAGACGAAGATCAGGCTCAGGATCTTTATGTGGAGACGCAGTCGTGGCATCGTCACTTCTTATCGCTCTCCCAGTTCCTCCCAAAGTCACTCCCTATTTTTCATTCACTGTATTGTTAAAAATCATAATCGGACAAGACATAGGAAGAACCCATACCCACATACCTTTAGTTTCGCGTCATGTCATTGATGAAACCGAAAATCCAGACGTCGCTGCATTGATGAAGGCGACCCACGTTCTCTGGCTCACTCGCCATCCGACATATCGAACGAAAGGAGCACAGCGCTCTGTTGTTCCGCTATTCAGATGAATGAGTACTCGACGTGTTGTCCTCGCGAGAGAATTTTTAGTTGAGTCCCCGAAGGATATCATCAATCTTTGTTTGAGATCATGACATTGTTCTTCCTGTGCTCTTCGTATAAAGTGGTAGTGACCCCAGTAGCTGATGAAGCAAGACGATGCCCGAAGTGAGCTGAAGCCTTCAGACTAAAAAAGCTCTTTCGTTGTAGTATGTGTTTACGTTTTGCGGTCTCGACGTACAAAACATTGTCTGCAGCCCACCTCGTACAACAATCTGAAACCGTTCTCGACTGCTCGTTCGCAACAAAATAAAGCCTTATCTCGTGCTATTGCCGGTCTTCTATGTGTTATTCGTCCGTCTATGTGTGAAAGTAAGCCCGAAGAAGTGCCGTTTTTTACGCCCCAATAGACTCCAATAGCCTCCCTCCTGCGTTCTTCATCAAGACTGCAAGACTGCAAGATTCTCGCAGGAACGAGATAATCCACCCACTTGTGACAAACACAAATAGCAGCTCACCCAAGGTCCGGTGACAATCCACCTTTTTTTAGCAAGCACGTCCTGGGAAGAGGTTTTTCAGCGAAGAACCGACGTGAACTAAGAAGCATAGAAGAACTGGTAGAATCAGCTCAACAAACCAAAGCTCAAGCTGCTAAACTGCATCCACGAATCCACAACAAACCCGTAGCCTTTTTTTTCTCTGGGAAGAAGCACAGAGGGGAAGAACGAGGTTCTGTTTGTAGCATTTCTTTTCTTGAAAGACAAGGAAAGAAAACAAGCAAAAAAGATGTTTCGAAACACGTTTCAGTCCGGGTTTCTGTCCATTCTGTACTCCGTGGGCTCAAAACCACTGCAGATATGGGACAAGAAGGTAAGAAGGGGGTTCCCATGCAAGACGTGCATCAAGAATAGCTTTTTTCATGCGGGAAATGCTTTTGAAAGACCTTCTATCGCTCGTCTGCATAGTTCCCAAAAAAAACCTATCTCAGGTAAGAAACGGTCACATCAAGAGGTTAACCGACAATGACATCCAGAGTTCGGTGTTGGAGATCATGGGAACGAACGTTAGCACGAACTTCATCTCCTGCCCAGCCGACCCGAAGCGAACACTCGGCATCAAGCTTCCGTTCTTGGTCATGATCATCAAAAACTTGAAGAAGTATAGTTTGAAGTTGTTATTTTATTTTTCCTTTTGACGACGTAAGGATTATATGGATATGCTATAGAACCTGAACTTGTCACGCTGCGCAGGCGCAGCGCATTACAACTTTGTCGCAGCAGCCCATTTGTGATGCAGAAGTGCGATAGACAAATGCATTCTGTGATACAACAAAATTGCCGACTACAGGTACTTCACCTTCGAGGTGCAAGTGTTGGATGACAAGAACATTCGCCGCCGCTTCCGGGCCTCCAACTACCAGTCCACCACCCGCGTCAAGCCGTTTATTTGTATAGTTTGCTATTTAGCATTAGATCGCGCATGGGAAATTTTGTGGACCATAATGCGGTTGATATTTTCTGATGTTCGCTCCGATGAGTTGCATTTGTGATGCACATAATTCCACTTCAAAAACAGGCACGATGCCAATGCGATTGGATGAAGGATGGAACCAGATTCAGTTTAACTTGTCCGATTTCACCCGCCGCGCCTACGGAACCAACTACATTGAGACCTTGCGGGTACTTGTGATTTTCATTTTGTGTTTGAAAAAAACACGACGCATAGGCATTCCAACAAGTTTTTCTATTGCATGAAGTCGTCAGTGATAAATGACTTTGACAGACTGGGTAGCGCTTGTGTTGAAGATGAATTTCTGATGCGAAAGTAAGCATAACAAACCCTTTTTCTTTAGGTGCAACTGCATGCCAACTGCCGAATCCGCCGCATCTACTTTTCCGACCGATTGTACTCCGAGGAGGAGCTGCCCCCGGAGTTCAAGCTCTTCTTGCCGGTCGCGAAGGGGTAAGCAACTTTTTTCTGATTGTATTGCGGAAATCGCATGACCAGCCTGATTACGATTGCTAAAGATGCATGACAAAGACAAACGTCAATGAAGAAACATCTGGTTTTCTGTGAATACAGGTGCAGCATCACAAATAATTCACACTTACAGCCAACAAGCCCCGGCTGCGGCACCGGCGGCGGCGTAAGATCTGACTCTGTCTACGATAGAAAAGTGTGAAGATGCAGAGTTGTGGTAGAAGCTGACGGAGCGTTGCAATTTCATGAAGAACAACATTGACGGGCACCACAGAGGATTTCTTTCGATGAAAAATCTATCTACTACAACGGAAAAAATTGGAACAAATTGTATCGACGGAAGAAAGAAGCAGAAGGGAGCATAGGGAAAAAGACAGAAACCAGAGGTAGGTACACGATTTGATTTCTATCTGCCCATTGGTAATTGTAGAATGAAAACGTATGGAATATCTGTGCAAACGTAAATTGTAAGCGTAGCGTCCGACGATGACGAATTGTGACAAGAATACATTATCAGGTACCAAAAACGACTGCAAGACGAGAAAGACAAATTACACGATGAAGCAACCGAATTGCTTCAAGCGCTTCTCGTTTCATCTCGATAACAAGCTGCGGTTTATGGTACCGTGAAAATACCGATTGGTGTCAGGGCCTTCATCTGCTGGAAAAAAGATGTCACGACAACTGCAGCAGCAACACACTTTCCACCCGCTCCACTTCTTTCACACCAAGTAACACGGACTTCTTCCAACTGGAACAACTGACGAGAAAGAAGAAAGTTCCTTCGTGCGTACAAAAAAAATCTGCAACAAAATCTTCATGTAATTGGGACCGTTTTGCCAGCGCTATCCTGCTCATCACAAAGCGTTACAATATTCTTGTAAAAACACCAGAGCACTAATTTTTTACAGTAGCAGATCAGACACTCGTAAATCAGGTTTCTATTCGCGCAAAAGGTTTCAGTATGGCTTTTACTCTAATATCAGACACACAGTTTACTAGCAGATAATCATCAGACACAAAAAATCAGGTTTCGCTAGCAAAGGCTAAGAGCACAGTTAATTTGGTATAGAATCAGACAAGAAGAAGCGAGCCTGTCTATTTCATTTAGAGGCGAGAAGTAGATGAATAGCAGGGGAAAACTTCTAGAATCAGACACTTAATTGTTTCCGTTTATCAGACAAAAAAAGAACTTTTAGGTTCGAATCATCCGGTGTAATCCTAATCTTAATCAGGCAGAAATAGAATCGTGGCAGACAACTTTAGCAGTTTAGCAGAATATTAGCAGATGAAGTTTTGAAGTTTTAGTTGCACAGCAGATTTACAGCAAAACTCAGACTCAAGAATCCTAGTAGAACAGATCAGACAAAAAACGATTTAGCAGGTTTCGAACTCGACGTCCAGATAGTTTTCCACTATCGACGAGCAGAATACAGCAAATTGCACAGAGAAAAAAATCAGACAAGGTTTCCTCTATAGTTTAAGTTTTTCAGAACGCGAGCCGTTCCTTGAAGTTAATGCCCCTAGTAGTATTCAACTTGTAAAACTTTCACTATGTTGTGATTACAGATACGAGCACAACGCGATTCACCTACGTTGTTTTTCAGTATTACGCCGACGTATGCTAGCAGACTGCAACAAAATGCGCTCGTGATCGTAGGAGTTACCTTTATCCAAGGGAGCTGCACGACTCGGGCCAAGTAGTGCTATTGAAATTTCTTATACTGAAAATCATTCCAGGTTTATTCGCCTCGTGTCTGAAATGTAACTCAGTTATTGCGCTAGTCGGCAAAAACCTCTAGTCTAGTACTTCTCAGGCTACAGACAGCGCGTGATGTTTTACTTCATTTGAGCTCCGTTTATTATCAGCTGCACTACTTCTAAAGTACTACAGTTTTCTCCTTGTAAATTTCGAAAGCAGTACTCTGTACAGGCAGTCGTGGGTTATCAATAGACTCTTCGTTATTCCAGAGACAGACATCGAGGATAGAGGCAATCGCAACAGCAAAAGAACGAAGCTCTGCACCCTAATAACCTTTTGGTCGAGCAGCGCGCAATTGAGTTACGGGGCGAAAAGGAAAAGAACTACATGTTTGAAGATCAATTGCGATTCAAAACAAAAAGCGTCAACAGCAAGCGAATATCCCCGTCTATGTCAGAAGGATGAAGAAAATGTCCAAAATATCCCGCAAAACAAAGTAAAGCCTCACCTTAGCTGGAAAGCCTCGCGCGTTGTTTTTCCACGTTCGCCCGAAGGTCGTCGAGGTCGAATGTGTATCTATATATCATAGGTAAATACTGAGGCATTGTTCTTAGTCGTTGCGTCCTATGTATTTGATCATAGGGCCAAGGATCGGTATAATTTTGAATCTGCGATACTTCGGTCTACAACTTCATTTGCCTCGGCCGCATCTAGTACTTGCGACTTTCGTTGTCACGAAATCGCCCATCGGTTTCGTGCGCATTGAAGATTTTTACAGCGTACTTTAAAAAAACTTATCGTGCAGCCTGCATGAAAACGAGGCATCAACACGCCACTTCGTCCAAGTGAGTTTTCGTTTGTCGGTCATCACGTTACTGCGAAGGATGTAGAAGTGCGCATTGTAGTACACATTTTACAGCTTGGGCCCCTGTTAAATAAGCGGCCGCGTAAGCTCTTTGTAATTGGTGCGTATTTCGCGTCTCGGATAATTTCACGAACAGTGCAGTGCACACCCTGAAACTTTCCCCAGGGTCGCAATATTTGGCAGCTTTCGCGCCCGCCGGTCGCAAGAACAAAAGCGGGCCAGCGATCCATCGTGGGTTGGCGCAGCTTTTGTGGCAGCGCCTTT